AATAATATTCGTCGTCAAACAATGTCTACATCCAGTATAAATTATAATGCAGTATGAACACCATTTTTGACAATCAGTTTTAAATTCTAGCGTTCGATTGCAAACTATACAACTATTACTAACATCCCACCATGGTAAATAAAGAATTGAAATTGGTGAAGTTGATCCTATCCATCCAGAAAAAATTTTATAACAACAAGAACACGACTCAAAATAACTACCTAAAGGCATAGATTTAGATATTACTTGGTTAAAATATTTAACACACTTAATGCTAGTGTTTTCATACTCAATATGTGCATTCAAGTATATAACATTATTATTATCATTAAAATTATTTAATAAGCATGTATTGTATTCAATATTCCTAACGCTAGCATTATCATCTTCAAGATACTTTGATAAGCAATTTTTGCAAAATTTTTGACGTAAATAACTTGCCTCAGAGTATTTATTTCCACAAAAATTACATATCATCTCACTTTCATTAAATGGAATAAATAGAATTGGTACAGGACTAGATTTTAATTTTGGTGTTGGATTAAAAGAATTTTCATTAACTTTTAAATTATATTTACGGTAAAAACTAACAATATTTTCCAAAACTTTAGTTGCTTTACTGGTCATTTTTGTTATAATTCAAAAATATTTTTTTTAATAATGTTTATAATTTTTTAATTGATTCAAAGGACGATAGGAATTTGTCAGTAGGTTTGTTTACTCGAAATAGATACTCTATTATGAATCTTAAACTTGTTAAACCAGCGCCACCGGAATTCATATCCTTTTGGTAATATTTATGTTACGAATTATATCACATGATGATCCGAAAGTTCCCGAGTACCTAATCTGTATTTGAATCGTGTAACATTCTGTATAAGCACATAAATTAAAACTAGTTGTAACCTGTTACTTTGCACCAGGATTGGTCATATGATCAGCGTACTTTTTTGAATTTTGTTTAATGTCACATAATAAACTAGCCAATGGAAGTAAGGTTGAACAATTTTAGAATTTATTTATACAGGTAATCTAAACGTTACAATTTTTTAATTATATGGATATAAACAAGTTCTAAAATTCCATATAATCTGAGCCTAAAGAGCTAAAATAACTATTCCTTTTTTTTTTTCTAAATTATTGAAAAAAAATCATTAAATTTGCCATAGCACTCCACCCAATATATCATTTACAAATCTCTGACTGATCCAGAAAATATTTAAATTTTTATTTTTAAATCATAAAATTGATTATTAAATAATTATCGCTAAAAAAGAAAAAAAAAAGGAAAAAAATCCTGTACTTGCCGATTTGCTACAACATGTTCATCCAGGTTACTTCGGTATCGTCCACAATCCCCTCACCAAACCAAAAAGATAAAAAAAAAAAAAATATTAGTAATTAATTAATGCTAAGAAAATTAAAAAGCAAAAAAATTAAAACGGAAAAAGATTATACGACTATCTACCAGAATATATAGCATCTGGTATTATTTTTAAAACTTTTAAAATTTTCCTATCCCACAGTTTCAGCAAAAAAAAATAATAATAATTTTGTATATACTATTTGATTGGTTTGGTGGAAAATAACAACTTCGTTATAAGAACATAAAAGGATTATAGTTCCTAAGATAGTTACATTAACGGGGGCTGACAAAATTTTTTTGCATTAAGAATACTCAAATCTAAACTACTATAAGCAAAAATAATTGAAAATAAGGCTACAATAAGTTTAATCATGGAACTACTGTGAACCCAAAAAATTACAATTCATCTTTTTATTATCATTAAAAAAATATAAGCCCTTAAATACTAACATATAAAAGTTACGAGGAATGAACTTTTTTTATATAAATAATAATTTCTGTTCATACCATACTGCATAATATAATTCTGATAAGTAATATTTTATGTAATTCTTTCTAACGTATTTTATAACTATCCACTGTCATAAAGATCTTGCAAACAAACGTAAGAAATTAAACAACCATTTTTTGAACTTAATTCCGGTCAAAGTAGTCATAATTCTGGTCAAAATCGCCATAATGCGGGCCAGGTTTCTTATTTTCGGGGGATGTTTAATTTCGGAACGGTACGGTATATTTATATTTTAAGGGATTGTACAATAAAATTATTTTATGTTTAAGTCAGTTCTAGTTTCATTCAATAGGTTTGCATTTTTTTTTTCAACTACCATTTGATTATATAATACTGTAAAGATGGATCCGGTTGATATTCCAATTAGTACCAATGGTAGAAAGTAATGATATTTTAAACCTAATAAAGAAAGGAAATACTTTTTATTTTTAATTATAATATAAAAATGTTAAATTTTAGAATTATTTAATATATACCTTCAGAAAAAACATCTCTTATTCTTAATTTACTAGTTACTAAAAGAAAAAGATCGATATCAATACAAGTATTAATTATTATATGTTAAAACAAAAATATGAATAAAAAAAATAACTCAATAATAAGTTTCATTTATTAATATTATAACATACCAATAGGTTCATCAGATAACAATAAACTTTCTAATAAAGATTCTAAATATTCATATTTATCATCATCTGTTTTGCAATACTTACTAAGAATTAATTCCGCCTCATATTTTTGATTATAATTTTTAGTGAAATGAATATATAATTTCTTTATTTCATGTTTACTAAGTTTAAGTTTAATTATTTCTTTCATAAATATTTGCCGTTTTAATATAATTAATTAAATTTATAATTTTTTTTTGAAAAAAAAAGTTTATTTTTTTGAGCTAAATAAAATTTGATTACAGTAATTATGATATTTGATGAGTAATTCTAACTATTTGGTATTATCAGCATCATATGACTTTATGAATATATAGCTAGTTACCAGTTATGGATCATTGGGATTTTGCCAGATTTCAATAAAAAAGAGATAATGATGGGCCCGGAAAAATTATACTAAATATTTCCAGAGTATAGAAAGCTTATTACCAGCTTAGCTAGTTATGTATAAATATTATCCTGAAAATATTCAACAATATCCCGATGGTTCGTGATTTTGATGATCAAAAATCTTGAAAGAAAATGTCAATCAAATATTAGTTTAGTTTATTTTATATTTACATCCAACATTATATAATCACAATTAAATTTACAATAAAATCCATAATTTATTGCAAAGATATATAAAAATTCAATTGATAATATATAATATATAAAGAAAATTATTTAAATTACAAACTAAGAAACGCGTAAAATATTTACTACTCTAATCAAATAATTCAAAATAAAATTTCCAATATCGTTTGTTATTTTAAAATCCATCTAAAAAAAGAATAATTATAAATAATATAAATTAGAATTAAAATATTATTTTATACAATATTAAAGAAAAATATTAAGAAACTAACCATCGGGAATCTCAAAATCATCTTGATCTTCTGAATGAAGGTTTGGATTATTATGTATTTCGTCATCATCTATAAAAGGACAAACGTTTTTAATTTAAACATTGCGAATTTATAGCAAAAAATTTTACTTACCATTAACTGATCCTTTCATTTGTTGCATTGTTTCTTTTTTATGATCAATTGGAAAGTCTAAATTTTTAAATAAATAAATAAGTAAGATTATAATAAATATTGCTTAATAAAATTTGGAATAATAATACTTACCATTTTTTGAACTTATTTGTAACCTTTTAAATACTTTAGATAATCTTTTACTACCACCTAAAATCGAGATAAATTTATATCATTATTTCAAAAATTTGAATAATATAAATATATAAATAAATTACCTTTAAAAAGACTATTTATTTTTGATGTTTTATTAATCTTCTGATCGTTCGAATTATTAAAATCCTCAACTAAAAAATGAAAATTTGATTAATAAATATTTCATCAAATGAAAATCTCAATAAATACCTACTATTATCAGGAATATTAAAATCATATGTTTTACTATGAAATGCTATTTAAAAAATAAGAAAATAGGTTATAAATTATTATAATAGTTAATAAAATAACAATAAAAAAGCTAACCTTCTTGTTCTTCTATAATGAGCATAATCATTTAAATTAAAAAAAACAAAATTAGTAACGTCATCATATCTTAATCAATAAACAAAAAACAAAAAACTTAATAAATAATACCTTCTGTTACATTTTTTGGTTCGGGTAAATTTTCAAATTGATGAACTTTGCTTGTAAATAATCTGCTGCTTATGTAATTTGTGCTAGTTTTTATTTCAAAATTATTCACTGCTTTTGACTGGAAAAATTCATTTGGCATATTTTGATATGATAGATTAATTTCTCTTATTTTTTTCATAAGAGATTGTAAATCAAGTCTTTTTAATGGATCAGCATCCCAACATTGTACCATTAAACTTTTATATTCTAAAGGAATATCTGACATAATTTCTGGTCTCATTCCATTAATTATATCCATTGCAAGATTATAATCATCATGCTTATAATCAATAAATGGTGAATATCCGGATGAAATTTCCCACATAAGTATTGCAATACTATAAATATCAGATGCAAAAGTATATTCTTTTCCATTAATAACTTCTGGTGCTATGTAAGGAAGATTTCCATATATACTTTTTGATGATTTATCAGCAGGCCCACACAATCCAAGATCACTAATAATCCATCTATCACTAAATTGTGAATATAATATGTTTCCAGAGTGCAAGTCTCTATGAATTGCTTTTTCAAGATGAATAAAATGAAGCGCATTAATTATTTCAAAAGCAACTTTAATTTTTTCCTTCCATGTAAGTTGATTATAATTTTGTTGTAAATATTCTCTTAAATTTATATCCATTTTTCTCATTACAAGCATGTAATTTCTATTTGATATATCTTGTGTTAAACCAAAGCAAGTGACAATAATAGCATGTTTATTGCCTATAGTTAAATGTGATTTAGCCTAAATGATAACATGCCATTATTAATGCAAAAATCTTTAAATTTCATAAAAAAATTTAAAATATAGTCATATATACCTCTTCAAACCAACTTTGATTAGCATTTTCAACATTTTCTAATTTTTTAAGTATTACTGCAATAGTACCAAATCTTTCTAATTGCTGTTCATTAGAATTCCATTTTTCATAACTTCCACCAATCCAACCTGCTGTATAAATTTCCGAGAATCCACCTTTTGTTAGATATTTAATATTTTTTAGATTGTTATATGGAATCCATTCAACTACCATTTTTGGTATACGTGTTTCCAATTGACATTTCTGTATTAAATTATCAATATCATTATTTCCGGATGTCCAATTTTTAAAATTTGCTTTTAAATAATTTCGAACACAATATTCACAATATAATGTTGCTAAACATTCTTGATTACAATTTTCACAAATTCTTTTTGTTCCTGAATTAAAAAAAATTTTACTTCGGTCATAATTTTCAGTTATATAATTTATTGCTTCAGTTTTTTCATCATCTGTAAGAAGTTTATCAGCTAGAATAAATTGTTCTTGAAATTCATATCGTTTGTGCATGTCAGTGTGAATATTATAATCAGTTAACGAATACGCTCTATTAACTGTTGCATAAATTAATTCCCATCGAATAGTAGACATAATGCAATTTTTATAATAAAGGTTTAAAATGAAAACTTTTTTTATTTAACTATTAAAATAAAAACAAATATAAATTGGAAAATGAAATTTTTTTTTTAAAAAAGAAAAAAAATTTAATTTCAAAAATCCCGAAAAAAATAAATAGTGTAACATAATTTTGAATTTTAGTATGATCCGAATGTTATGTAACAGTTATACAAACAAGTTTAAAATAAACACGATAAACTATTTTTAGACATGCTTATCGCTATAATAAATATTTTTACATTTTTATAAATAAATATTGTAACTAAAAATACACATTATAGTTTAACCGAGAAATCTAAGTGTAAATCAATTTATTTAATTTGTTGAAAGAATTAAAAAGAATGAAAAATATTGATGATATTGTACTACTTTGTGATTAACAACAGTACATGCTGAATCTTTTTTTGTAAACAAAAAGACCTAGGTTTTATTTTAAAAATGATGAGGAATTATAATTAAATCATTTGTTAATATATTAATTAGTACGTAAGTAGTTACCAAAATGTCACTAGCGATTTGGTATCAAAATTGAATTAATCGAATCAGAATCAATTTTATTTAAAAAAATTGAAAATATTCTAAATAATATAATTAATATGTTTAAAATATGAATCATAATTAGTATTTACCCATTCAGAGGGGATATCGGGTTACATTTCAAATGATTTAACATTCTATAGACTTGAGTCATCATTTGATCAGCATAATAATGTCATCTTTTGTGTTATCCATATTTTTATTAATATGTCATACTTAGTCATAAAAGATATATATGTATATATACTGTATATAGCGCATGAGAATTCTCAAGTATTCTGGTAAAAATGGTGTTATTCATACCGAGTCATGAAAGATCAGTGTTTATGATTGATGATACAACATGAGTAAAATTTCATAGAAAATAGTGAACTGAAAAACTATAAAATCACCTTTTTCGCACTCAAAAAATCCACATTTTAATATACAAAAAAAGACCTTTAAGTCCTATAATCCATTACTCTTTCAACCAACTGCAAAAAACCAATACAATACAACTGACTGACGGCCTAGTGGGTTATTATTGTTTGAATTTTGTTTTCAACACAAAATTCAACTGCGGATCACGAAAAAACATAAGGATTTAAGGCAAGTATTTCCGTTGTATGGCTCTACTTGCTTTATGGGCGTGCGTCATTTTTAAGTGTTATGACATAGGGGTTTATGTGTTCATAGTACGTACCATATGCTACAGGCTAGTAGTCATCTGCTTTGTGCACAAAGTCGTAGCTACAATGATGCCATATAGGTGGTCCCACAAGCTGACTCATATGGGAGGGCAGGCCGTGGTGCCCGTGGAAGTGACACATATTTCTATGTCATGGGCATACTTGATTATTGATATATGCTAACATAATATTATATATTTTATCTTCAGTAATTAGGTAATTATTACAGCACTATTGATTTTTGAAATCATCGCTGAGAACATTTAATAGAGCGTTACTTTTCCTATCACAAATATGCCAATCCTTCCATAACCTTATGTTTAAACGCATTTTTGACTCCAAACTTATCATTATTGCTATTTTTACACTATCCGATAAAATGTTTTTTTTTCATAAATTTTAAATTTTCCATTCAATCAATTCAAGCATTTAAATATTATTATTATTCCATAATAACTGTTTTCGTCTTTTTGAATATTACATTCACCATTGTATATCTCGCATATAACTTTATAGTATTATATACTAAATTCAACATTATTTGTTTAATATATATATTTTTTAGTTACAAATACATGCTAAATCATGATAGACATACAGTAATTAATTTTCAATTTCATTTTAAAGAATGTTTTATTATTTTATTTATGAGAATATTTATAAATAAAAAAATAAATAAAAAAAAAACCATTTGTTCACAAATTTTATTAACTTCTTGGCAATTACAATCTATAAATATATAATAATATTGTTATCGTGTAAACAATTTCTTCAATTTTGTGTATTTTCTTGAAATATCCATTTAAAATTAACAACTTACAAATCAAAAATTACTGATAATAATCATTTAAGTGAATAAAAGATTTAAGATTCTACCTTCAAGGAGCTCAGTCTTGTGTTTTGGGCGAAACCGAAACTAAAATTTTGGCGAAACTTCTGAAACTTCCGTAACTTGGTAAAACATGTTTTATTTATTTTTTTGTAATACATGACTGGTTTAACAAACAAAATAATTATAAATCAAGAAAGTCTTGATAAGGATTCAGATGTGTATCAATTAATATTTGATGAATTTCTTCAGTGGATTTTCTATACCATAATAAGGCAATTCTTTTTTCGCATTTACATGGTAATAGGCTGAAAATTTATACATATTTTCAACTTTATTTAAGCTTAAACAGGTCCTTCTTTTACTATATATCCAACCAAGACCTCACCGACGATCAACAGGCAATTATTTGCTTGCATCCAGCTGCATGAGGTGTGAAGGAAAAAAGTTTAAGTGCTAGTTGAACTAGGTAATCCTCAACTTTAGGAAATTTATCCTTAAGAAAACCATCAAGTATATGGAGTTTCAGTATCATTCATTTCAATATCAAAAGGTTTTCCTCATGTACGATATCGTTTCATTTGATGCATTAATTCTTTACGTTTCTTCCATTTTCATAAAATTTTATTTGCTATCATTAATAAATCCCTAAAAAGCCCTCATACCCAGCAAATTTCTAAAGTATTTATTTAATTATTTGGTATAATAAATTTAATTTAGTAAATAATTTTACAATAATAACAATATTATTTTTTTTTAAAAAAAAATAAGGCATATGATTTACACGTTACAATCATTACATTTAGTAATTATTTTTATATATTATTATAACCATTAGAAATACATAATTCAAAATAATATAATTATATACAGTAATTTACTATTAAACATTAATAAATTGTAATTTTAAATAAATTCTAATTTTTTTTTTAAAAAAAAATAACCATAGTGTTCGTTTTAATTATTAATTATTATTATAGGAATTACAGATAAATATGATCCAAACTTACTAGTATAATACTGATGTAAAAAAAGCATAATAAATATATCAGATCAGCAAATTCAGCGTGACGACAATTAAAAATTGAAATACACTGCTGGCGAAAAACTCAATAATCATTATTAGGTAATTTTTTAATTGCAGCTCCAAGTTTTGTAAGTCCAAGAAAAATCAGCAAGGGTGCAAGACTGAGATTCTAACACTGAAATTGATTGTTTAATAGGACGTAAGGTAAATGCTAACGAATATACATCATCAAAAAATGCACGCGATCGTAAAACTGATAATACTGCTGTTGAAAGGTTTTCTGGTTTTCACATTTTAACTATAGAAGCAAAAAATGAAATTATTAGTTGAATTAGTAATTAAATGACTGATTCAAAATCTTACATTTTCTAATAGTGCTTTATGGTGCATAATTGAATCAACACAGTCAAAATCAATTACCAAATACTGTAGTATGTGAAATATATAGCATCTTAGGTTAAATTTATTATAGGGATTAAATTCAAGCAACAAATATTACTATACATTACTATACTCATAAAAAAATTCAAATATAAAATGCTAGGAAAATAAAATATACTGTAAATTTGATACAAATTTACATATTATATTCATGAATAATTGATTTAGACAAATTAAGAAGTCTCTCAGACTTTTCCTTTGATTTTTTCTTATGATTTTCCTTTTCTTCTAATGTTAATTCTTCAGCTATTCTATTGCTGGCACTGTAAAATGATAAACAAATAATATTTCCCACATTATCTGTTCTAACTTTAATATCTTCTATCTCAGTTTTCAAAAATCTTGAAGGTAAGGTAGAATAGACGAGACTGACAATCAAAATGTCAGAATCTTCAAAATAAATTGGTTTTGGTGGGTCTTCATTAAATATCTCATCCAAATCAAATGTATTACGAGATAATAGCTTAGATACTTCTTGCACATGGAACGCCACTATTTTATCATTAATATCATAAGAAATAAGGAAATCAACCGTAACATCCACACAATAGTCTTCAACACTAGAATCACTGTCCACAAAATAGACTGACAAAATTGTCTGTCTTCGAAATATTTGAAAATTACATTTCTGAAAACTTTAATAGGCCTTAAATCATGAAATAGATTATTTTGTATTGAATCTTACGTAATGGTTAAAATACATTTGTTACAAAGTTCAAAATAACAAACATACCATGCTTTTTCTGTGAGCTAAAGTAATGCAATTAGGCACAAAATAAATAAACAAAAAAAAAGTGAAAAGAAGGAAATCTACAAGACTTACATCATCTAATTTAATTTGTTCAAGAATTTGATGAGAACTATCCATATCCAATTGCGTATGCATCTTTAGTACACGTTTTTATCCAAGTACCTTTGTAGAGAATCCTTGTGATAGGTTATAATTAGCCGGGGAACAACTGTTTGCAATATAACTCTATACGGACAACTTTATTATTACCTATCGCTTGTTGGGCAACTGCTTTATTAATTGTTAACATGGCGTTGGGTTGAAGGACACCTATTGATATAAGAAAGCTGCACATTTTGATAAAAGGTATATAGAGTAGTTGGGTATGTTAGTATACTATTTGTTAGAATGAATTGCTACCGCACTTATTCCATCACCACCATTATACTCACGCTTGTAGTTTTGTGGACTATAATCAATCACACCCACAATATACACCATACAAATTACTGAAATATTAGATATTTGTCTTACGTTAAAAAATTTCTTGGGGCAATATATTGGTCAAAAAAAATTTTTACCGCCTAATAAAATATTCGAGAGATTATTCTAATTTATTCTAATGAATAAAAATGAACAATAATAATGTCATCAGTAACTCTACCTAACGCAGTATCTGACTCCTTATGATATCATTTAGTCGTATTATTTTAAATTTTCTGATATCATTTGCTGATAACAAGCCACCAATCAAGAGTATAAAAGGACTAATTATGTTTAATTTAAACGTTGCAAAATTAAAAAATTTATAGCAGAAATTTCACTTACCATTAACTGACTCTTTCATTTGTTGTATTGTTTCTTTTTCATGATCATTTTGAATGTCTTTATTTTAAATAAAAAAAATTAATGCTTGCTTAATAAACAATTAAATTTTAGAATCATATTACTTACCATTCTTCGAACTTATCTTTAACGTTTCAAATACCTTAGAAGAGCTTTTATTACTGGCTAAAATTGACATATAATAGTACTATATTATTATTATTTAAAGATAATTAAATATACATATAAATAAATTACCTTTAAAAATACTACTTATTTTTGATATTTTATTGATTTTCTGATCGTTAAAATCATCAACTAAAAAATCATATACTTTACTATAAAGCGCTATTTTTTTTAAGAAAAAATCATAATAAATAATAAATTGACAGTAAAAAAAGGTTAACAATTATTTAAATTAAAAACAAATTAGTAATTATGAAAAAAATTATTAATATATTAAGTAATACCTTTCGTTGCAATTTTTTGCTAAATTTTAAAAAGTTAAAAAAAAAATAATTATTTTTGACAATGACTTGAGTTACTAAACTCTAAACAGTGTAACTATATGATCTAAATGTCATGTGGCAATTACACAACCAATTATAAACAACGTAACAAATAAATATTTTTACATTTCTAGAAATAAATAACAAAAATAAGGTACATACTCGTGTACACGTGACCTCGTAACTGCGGCACTATCGTGTCTTGCAAATATGACCAGCTGAGTTCCATAGCAACTATTAATTGTTTGATGTAAAAGAATCAAATAATCGTTATGGTTACTTTGAATTATTTTAATTTGATAATTATACAGTATATATATGAATGCAAAAAAATAAACTCTTGAAAAATTATGAGAAAATGAACATTCTTAGGTCCTTAAATTTTAATTTATTCTATTCTAAACACTATAAAAAAATTCTAGTTTCAGAACACGCAAATCATTGCGAACCATTCAAATGATTTTTCCCATATATTAATTTATTTGTGGCTGAAAATGGCAGAAGTTCGTGAAAATTTACACCGCTTTATCACAATATATAATATTTCGTTATTGTTATAATGAAATATTAATAGATTAATATTTGGGCCAATTAGACCATTTTATCTAATAATAGAAATAAAGTTAGTGTATAATATGATAAAACGTTATGAATTTAACTGATATAAAATTATTAAATAATAATTATAGACTAAAAAATTTTAATTGATGCGAATATACGATGCAAAATAAAAATTTATTAATAGAAAAATAATTAACTGATGCAAATAACTATAACTCATACTCTTTATATCGATGATATCAATACATAAAATTTATTTTGATACAATCATACATTATTTATTAGAAAAAGTTCCTTACATTATTATAGAAACAAGTCGAAATACTGTATAAATATTTAAGAGATTTTATTTTTTCTAATTTATAATAACTTGGTTTCAATTATTATTAATATCTTTATTTTTTTCTGAAATCTTCTTGTTTTTAATCTTTACATGATATTTCTTATCGTTTCTTTCTCGTTGACTTTTTTTCTTTGTTTCTTCTTTGTTTTTTCTTTGTTTTAATATTGATTTTAGATTTATTGATAAGATATAATATAAAAAAAATTATTTAAATTACAAACTAAGAAACCGCGTAAAATATTTTACTATTCTTAAATCTTAGCGTTTAAATAATTTATTTATTAAAATCCATCTAAAAAAGGATACATATAAATAGTACAAATTAATAATCAAGATTATTTAAACAATATTAAGAAAAATATTAAGAAAAATAACCATCAGGAATCGCCAATTTATCCTGATATTCTGAATGAAGGTTTGGATTATTATATATTTCGTCATCATTTATAAGAGGACAAAAATATTTAGTTTAAAAATTTGCAAAATTAAAAATTTATGGCAAAACTTATACTCACCATTAACTGATTCTTTCATTTGTCACATTATTTCTTTTTTATGATCATTTCGAATGTCTATATTTTTTTAAATAATTAATAATTAAATATCGTTTAATAAACAATTAATGTTTAGAATCATATTACTTACCATCCTTTGAACTTATCTTTAACGGTTTAAATACCTTAGATAATCGGTTCATACCCAAATCAAAAAATGTGTAACCCGACTCCAAAACGGCGGGTATTGCCCGTTTATCTTTTTGTTAGATATGACCCGGGTATTACCCGGATAAAAACCTCAATAAATATATAAATCAAGATATTTATCAAATATAAGAAGTCTTTTAGAAGTATTGCTAAAACTCATCAGTAATGACCATCAACACACCATTTAGATCTGGCCGAAATTATATTTTAGCCAGAATTAATAAGAATCTCTTTTGGTCATAAATTATCTCGTGGCGACTAACGATCACCAAGTGACATTCACATTAATTCTGGCCAGAGTTAACATCTTAATTCTGGCAAAATTTATGGAGCAATTACCTGAGGGTATTTATGTGTCAACATAAAACGGATACAAAACGGGTATTACCTATTTGTTATTCCGTAACCTGGATACTCATAAATACCTGAGTATACCCAGTATAAACGGGTAATGGCCCGCAGCTCTATTTTATATACTTTTTATGGGGAGCTAATGTAGTTGTTATTCTCGGCATCTGGAAGAAAATGTTAAGTAAAGTTAATCTTAGTTATGAAGAATTATCGGAAATTAGACAAATTACTAATTCAATTGAAATTGTTGGTGGTAGATATAAATTTAGTATCGCTCTTTACTAATATAATTTAATAAAATTTCTTCGTTTAAAGGGAATGACGGGTTATTTTTAGCCTACTTTCCGTTTAAAGGTAATAATAGGTTAACATAAATTTGTTACAAAATAATATAATATGATAATAATTAATCACTATAGGTTTTTGTCTTTAGTTAAGATATAAATATGATGAATTAAATTGAATCCAACTTTCATTACTAAATTAAATAAACAAATAGTATTAGAATATTGTAAGTTGTTAAAAATGCATCAATGATTAAATAATTTTTTACCTACTTACAATCTTATAATATTGATCTTTCAAAAATGTGATTGTTCTTTGCTAATAATAATATCTATTGTTTTATATTTGCTCGGTATTTTGGAAAAATTTTACAAAAAACTCATGAACCATCAGGATATTCTTCAAGAATTTTACGAAAGTGGTGATTTTTCTTGCATTAAAAAGTGAATAGAAAGTGATAACAGGAAAATTAGAGTTTGAAATAAGGATCATTTTATAGAGTCGCTCATCGAATAGATATAGCCATCAATAATGTCATCCAGATATATCCATGTATTATTATCTTATACTATTAAATATTTATCTCCAACTATAATAATTTTTTTTTCCTACAATAAAAATTATTAAAAAAATAATAACTGAATTTTTTTTTTAAAAAAAAGGTTTCATTGAGTAAAGAAAATTAATTTTAATTTTTACAAGCTCATTATGTCACGAAAAAGGCAATAAATTTTGCCTAAAAAATATGTTATTGTATTATAATTTCGAAATATTATGCAAATAAAACTTTATAATCAAAATTGAATTTTTGATTTTCGCTTTTTCATTCGAATTTTCAAATTTGGTTCATTTAAACATCAAATTGCCAATGAAAGAGACACAAATACGGCAATTGAAATTTTATTTTACTACGAATTTAAAGGTGTTTCCATTTTTTGAGTTCTATGATGATTTGTTAAAATAATTGGTTTCTTTCCAAAAACATCTTCAAAATTAAATTTACAGAAAATAATCCTAGTCTACAATAGTTTAACTTTAACGTCATTTGTACCTTTGTAATTTTCACATCAATAATAGAAGATCCAAGTTGCCGGTGATGACATACTTTTTTGTCTATTTTGTATGATCAGATGATCATCATTGCGGCACATGACAGGTTAGTAGACAATATTAAAATTTTGGTGGTTGCACAACTTATTTGTTTAACCGTCTATCGAGACTTTATTTTTATTTTTATTTTTTTTTTTTGCATTATTAAAATAATTTGTTTTCTACAAAAATGTCTAATATTCGGAGAGAATTAATACGAGCTGTAATTAGTAGATCATTTACATCAATTGATTTTAATATTTACGTTAACTTTTATGAACAAAACGAATTTCGTAAACAATTCGTTCTTGCTGATAATTCTCTTACAGAAGAAGAAAAAACTGAAGCAATAAGAATACTTAATATAGATTATGACCGAAATAAAATTAAAAATAATAATGGAACAAGAAGAGTTTGTGAAAATTGTAACCAAAAATGTTTAGCTACATTATATTGTGAATATTGTGTTCGAAATTATTTAAAATATAATTTTTCAAATTGGACTTCTGGAAATAATGTTATTGATAATTTAATAAAAAATTGTCAAATGGAAACAATTAAGCCAAATAATATTATTGAATGGATACCATATAATAATTTAGAAAATATTAAATATCTGACAAAAGGTGGATTCTCAGAGATTTATACAGCTAAGTGGATTGATGGAAGATATAAAGAATGGAATTCTAAGGAACAGCAATTGAAAAGGTCTAAAACTATTACAGTAATACTTAAAGAATTAAAAAATGTTGAAAATGCAAGTCAAAGTTGGTTTGAAGAGGTTTGTAAGTTAAAAATATTTAAAGAACTTTAAAATAATAAATTTTATTATTAATAATTAAATTTTAAATTTTAAGGCTAAATCACATTTAACTTTAAGCAACAAACTTTCATCTATTGTTCAATGTTTTGGTTTAACACAAAATCCATCAAATGGAAATTATTTACTAGTAATGTTGAAGTATAATATGAATTTAAGAGAATATTTACAACAAAATAATAATCAACTTACATGGAATGAAAGAATTGAAATTACTTTTTCAGTTATTAATAGACTTTATTTTATTCATAAAGAGAATTCAATTCATAGAGATTTGCATTCTGGAAATATATTATATTCACAGTTTAATGATGGTTGGCGGATTAGTGATCTTGGATTTTGTGGTCCTGCAGACAAGCCATCAACAAGTATATATGGAAATCTTCCTTACATAGCTCCTGAAGTTATTAACGGAAAAGGTTATACTTTTAGATCTGATATTTATAGTATTGCAATGCTCATGTGGGAAATTTCATTTGGACAGCCTCCATTTATGAATTATGAACATGATTATATTCTTGCAATTAATATCATTGATGGTATAAGACCAAAAATTTTATCAGAAATTCCTTTGAAATATAAAAGTTTAATGGAGCAATGTTGGGATGCTAATCCACTAAAAAGACCTGATGCTAAGACACTTAATAAAAAAATTAATGAAATTAAATCATATTATCAAAATAATTCAAATGAATTACCTCAATTAATAACAAAGTTAGATAAGAAAACAAGCAATATTTTAAGTAGTAAACTATTTACAAGTAAAATTCATAAATTTGAAAATCTACCTGAACCAAAAAATGCAACAGAAGGTATACTTTTTAATGTTCATTAACTATTTAATTTTTTTCTTTAATATTATAATTAATGATACACTTTTTTTTTTAATTAAATAATAATAGAAGAACAAAAAGGTAATATAAAATTAATAATATTATTGTATAAATCCTTTAATTAATAAATAAATTGAGATAATCTCTTTTTTTTAAAAATAGCATTTTATATCAGTAGATCAAATAATTTTAGTCTTTCTGATAATAGTAAGTATTTATTAAAATAACATTGAATTTTTATATAAATAAAATATCATATTGATTGGTTTTCATTATAGCTAGTAATCCTAGTAAATCAATTAAAATTAATTTTAAAGGTACTAATTTATTTTTATATTAAAGTTTTATAATGAATAAATACTAATTTATATCTTAATTACTATAGATAATGATAGTAAAGAATCATCCTAAAAAATTGAAAATGGAGAATGGTAAAATCTTAAAATATGTAATTCTAATTTTCGTTGAAGATAAGAATGAATATTCTATTAAATTTTGATTTATTTTATAATAGTAGACGAACAAAATGACTATGAGAGAGAAATAATGTAACAACGATCAAATATTAGTATTAATGGTAAGTAAAATAAATTATTATTTATAATAATGATCGAGTATTATTATTCTAATTTATCTTATTTATATAATAGATGAAGTACAAGATAATCCAAATCTTCATTCAGAATAAAAAGATAAAACTCCCGATGGTTTGTTTATAATTTAAATATTTTTTTAGTAAAATTTTAAAAAATAATAAATATATTTATTTACTAATATAATTATTTCTCTAGACGGATTATAAATTGATTTTCAATTAATTTGAAAGTAAATTCATTTTTAATATTTATTATCTTGTTTTGAAATTATTTAAACACTAAGATTAGAGTAGTAAAAAAAAGATTCTTAGTTTGTAATTAAATAATTCAATCCTCTATTTTTTTTATAGGACTTTTCAATTATTAAATAAAGATATTATAAATTATCATAAAATATTATGTGTAAAAGTAATTCTGTAACAACGCATTAGTATTTACAATAAAAAATAATTTACAAATCATTCATTTGATTATTATTTTACGCTCCAAATAACCTTAATTATTTATGGCATAATATTAGGGCGAAAATAATACTAGAAGGTAAAAGCATTTTTGAATGGGGATGTTATTATTGGGTAAAATGTACATATGCTTGGATTGGAGTATGTTCATCAGAAAATTTTAATTGTGAAACTTTTGCAGGAACTCAATCTACCGGATGGGTATTAGGTTCTGGTGGTTATTGTTGTAATTCTGGTAATTATATAAAAAATTATTGTCCATTATTCGGAGATGGCACAAAATTACAGTTCACCTAGATATGAATAAAAGAACTTGTGCTTTTATGGCCAATGATACAAAACATCAAAGATATTTAATTGTGAATTATAGAATAAAAATTTTTGCGTCATTATTTTTTAGCTAAGAGTTTGGGAATTTAAAAGAATCTTTCAGTAGATCGAGATTTAATTCGTTTAAAAAATATGTTTACTTACGAAATGATATGCTAAATGTTTCATAATGTAAAATTTGATGTAAACATTTTGATAGGAGATCAATCTTTCTATTGTGACTTAAATAAACTTACGTTGGCCGCAGTTACTTTGTCGATTTACTAAAATCGGCAAATCTAATTTTATTTGTAACCAAACCTTTTAACCATAAGAATATCACTGAAATAAATTACAAAATATATTTTTTTGGTAAAGAAAAAAAACTTTAAAAAATAATGAGAGGATATTCATTAGGAGAAGTAGAGAAGATGACTTAAGATTATTAATATATAATCCAAAGTATAGTGATGTAGAAATTTTGCGAGGATGAAAAGAAATTATACAGTATGGTTTATATAGAACAATTTTGGCTGCAAGATCTGAAATGTTTGAGAAAACTCTTGAATCGGAGTGATTTAAGTGTATCAGAATTAACATAGTTTTATCATATTCATTTTTTTAAATTTATATTTATTGCAGTTTTTAGATTTCTGTGTACGTTGCGATTACTGAGTGATTATAATTACAGGACGTCCAGTTTTTGTCTAATTTTATTTTATAAAGTAATTTATATGAGTAGCAGAATTTTGAAAATGGCAATAAGTAAATTAGAGCATTATGGAATAAAAAATTATTTGTTTTCAGTTATTTTCAGGAATAATCCCAGCAGATTTTATTAATTATATCGATATTAATTTATCGGACAATCACATATTCAAACTCCAATTAACGCAATTGTTTACCAGCATAAATTGACATATCTAATCCTTCAAGAATGTGTATCAGGTTTAAATTTTTAACCGATGTAGGTCGATCATCTCCTTCATTAAGGCGTGGCTAATGTCGGATATATTTTTTCCCATAGATGGTACAACATAACACAAATGCGAGCAAATACTAATTAAGTATTTAAATTCCTAAAATATAATCATTTATATATTTCTATTTTCTTTTTTTTTTAAAAAAAAAAAAATGAGAGGAAATTCATTAGAAAAAGATTTGAGCTTATTAATAAATAATCAAGAATATAGTGATATAGAAATTTTATGTGAAGATGAAAAGAAATTATATGGTTGTAGAGCAATTTTAGCAGCAAGATCCGAAGTATTTGATAGATTACTTTATAATGGGATGAAAGAAAGTTATGAAACCAAAATTTCTTTCCCAAAGATTAATTCTGCTGGTATGAAAATTGTATTAGAATATACTTATACGGGATCAATTAAAATAGAATCATTAACAAAGGATAATATAATTGAAGCATTTTACGCTGCTGACTATTTTCAATTACCAGGTCTTCAGGATTTTATTATGAATACATTCAAAAATACATTAGAAAAAAATTGTGATGAAAATTATTCACCAGAATTACTAACTAAACTTGCAGGGAAAATGCCATTAACAGAAGATAATATTCTACTAAATTTATTGGTTGAAGCGATAGCAGTTATACCATTAAACACCATTGAATTTGGTCGATTGTCTATTACAGGACTTAGATATCTTTTATCTTGTACACATGAAAAAGAAAAGTCTTTTGCAACCCCAGAATATGAAGTTTTTCGATATGGCGCTATTCTTGCAGCAAAACAAGTTTCAAATGAAGCATATAATACTCTTATGGAACAGTTACCAACTTTAGAACAAATAAGACAAGAGAATCCAGTACAAACAAAAAACAAAATTATTGCCGATCACCAAAAAGTTGCCAAAGAGTTAGAGCATTTAGTTAAATTAATTGATTTTAGGCGAATTAAAGGTCAAATATTAGTTAATATTATTGAGCCGCTTGGCATTACCCCGATTGAAATTATTTTAAATGTTTATCGATATAATACATTATCGTTTAATTCAGATTTAAATGATACCCGAGGAATGCCTTTCAATTATGTTTATGATGAGTCAGCATGTGGATCAAAACTTATTATTGAGGATAATGGAAAAGTCGTATGCGCACCAAATAATAATTTTACCGATTGGCAAAGTGTTAGTATTAAAGTGACTTTAGGAAATAAAAATTTTTTTGAATGGGATGTTATTATTGAGAAATTCTGTGAAAGTGCTGCTGTTGGAGTATGTGCATTAGAAAATTTTAATTATGAAACTTGGGCAGGGTATCAAACTACTGGATGGGTATTATCCTCCCAAGGTAGTAGTGTTAATTCAAATAATTGGTTAGGAAATTATTGCCCTTCATTCGGAGATGGCACAAAAGTCACTGTTCACTTAGATATGAATAAAAGAACTTGCGCTTTTACAGTCAATGGAACAAAATATCCAGAAGTATCAGCTTGGAATAATTTACCATCAAAGCTCTATCCAGTAGTATCATTAAAATACCCTGGTCGATTTAGAATTCAACCTCATAAAAAAAATAATTAATTGTGAAATTATAGAATAAAATTTTTTTATTGGAACTGAAAATGAAGAGCTAATTAAAGATATTTTCTTTAAAAGTTTTTTATGACGATTAAGTTAAATGTTTAAAAATTCAAACTTATCTGAATATTATAAATGTTGATGTAACAAATATTTTAATGTATATAAATCCTTAGCCATGCCGATCAAATATTTTGTCATTTGACAGCCGAGATTCGTTATGATTTTTGAACATATGATTTAAATCTAATCTTTTATTCTTTGATAAAAAGACTTCTATAAAATGGCTAGTCATTTTTAGTTACTAATTAAGTAAATGATGTACTGTATGGCAAGCTGAGTTGGACAAAATTATCGGACATTGTGCGGTAAAAAATCATGCATGGCTAGACAAAATGTCACCCCGTGTCTGACATTTTACCTGTTTATGCTTAATTTTCATCTGTCCCGTGCTTGATATTTATCTGTACGTGCTTGATATTTTTGATGTTTATCTATGATCTATCATGTGATTGATGTTTTTATCTGTTCGTGCTTGGTATTTTTATCTGTCCATGCTTGAGGTTTTATCTATCTGTACTTGGTGTTTTTGTCCAATTGTATTTGATTTAATCCAACTATATTTGATAATTTTATCTTGTCAAAAATTAGTTTCTTTGTCAGCATAGGGTTGATATTTTGTCAATCACATGTTTTTTAAGTTTAGCATAGTTTATGTATGGGTATGCGAAAGAAATGAGTTCACAGTCAAAAGAAATTATAGAAAGATCAATAGTAGAATACGAAGTAATGTTAAAAATTCAAGAGAAGCACAAGCACACAGAATGTAATATTTTACACGAAATTAATTTTAATTTTATACAGATTCTTAATCAACAATCAGAGATTTGATTAGGAAAAAGTAAAGATTGGGAGTTAATAAGAGGCGTTTTTAATAACAGATTTAACAAGATTTCATCGAAGATAGAAGTAAAAAATTTAACTGATGATCTTTGGTATTTCTGTTATATCAATGTAGAATAAATATTTGGAATAAAAGATGTGACGAGGTAAATGAGATAGAAAAGAAAAAAGGAATAAAGAAGATGGATAAAAGAAAGCGTAAAATAAAGGAGTATGAGGTAGATATTGAAGAAAATAAAGAAAAATCAAAAAAAACAAGTAGAAAATAATAAAAAAAGATAAAAACAGATAGAAAAAAAGATTAAATTAGTAACAAAAGATAGATTGATCGGAAGGTTCACTGAGGTAGGCAATATTATATTAATTCAGATTATCTTAATTATTAGTTTAGAATTAATTGTTTAGTATAGTATAGGATAGATATACTTTAGTTATAGAGGATAATTTAATTTTTTATTAAATTTTCTTCTAAGTGTTTAATAATTATGTAATCAATTAATATTATTGAATTGTTAATTAATCAACGCGTTACTAATTTTTTTTTTTAAAAAAAAAAGAAAAAAGTTTAGCATAGTTTTTACACGAAGAATTTTTTTTTATTTTATTAGCTTTTTTTTTATAAAACAATTTTGTAGAGAATTTTTATTTTTAATATAGGCAAAGGCTTTTTTTGATAGAATTTCTTTTGGAATTTTTTTTGATAAAAAATTTTGTTAGAGATTTTTTTTTATTGATAGGGACATTTCTAAGTTTTTTTTTTAATAGGAATTTTTTTAATAGGTTAGAATCTTTAAATAGGGAAATGTGTTTTTTGACGGAAGATTTTTGTTAGAAATTTTCTTCAATCAGGATATTTTTTTTTGATTGAGAATTTCATTAGAGAATTGTTGGTTGAAATTTTTTTTGTTTTTTTGATGGAGAATTTTGTTAGAAGTCTTAATAGAAAATTTATCGATCTTTTTAGCGATAGTATGCTTTTGGATGATAAATTTCTGACGATCATCTTCCAAATTTATTCACTTTTTCGCTTAATTTGTAGTTTGTCATACGATCTACATGCATTTTTTCATAATTTCGGAAATGCTCAATGTGAACTTTTTTGATTCAATTTTATATAGCTATATATATTGCTAATTGCAATAGCTATATAGCTATAGACGTTGTTATTGCAATATTGCTTCTTTGATATCATTAGAATAAAATTACAAAATATTAATTTTTGTGCCACTTTCGCTACATATTAACTTGATGCATCAAACAATAAGTTTTATATTTGTATTTGATTTTGTTGATCTTTATTGATTTTCAATAAAAATAGATTCAAATATATTTCTTTTTCGTTAAAAAAATTGAAACGTGTAGATGATCATGTAGATCTTGTGATAATCAAAATAAAAAAGTGTTAGACGAAAATTTTTTTCAAAAATTTTTCTTTTTTTATAAATTTTTTTACATTTTTTTCTATTTGTAAGATTAAATATTTGGATATTACATAATCACAAATTAAATTTATAAGTGTATTTATTGCCGTTTTCAGAAATGTTGACAATTCAAAAATGGTGATCATTTTGCCGATCGAACACACCGAACACACCAAACACACGCCGAACACAAACTGAATCACAAACTGAACACAAACTGAACACAAATGTTATACAAAATATTACATGAAAAACTGACGCGAAGTCGTAAATGTTACAATTTTTGTTTTTTTTTCATTACAATTATTTTAATGTCAAGCTTAAAGTCAAGAAAATACCTTATAGGTTTATGTTTTCTTTGCCAAGAATGCTTATATTGTAGTAAAAACTGTAGTAATAGAGGTTGTAGGTGCAGAAATAATAAAGAAGTAACTCCAGAACATAAAAAAAGACAACCAAGAAAATATTATTCACGCGCTTTTCAACCTAAAAACTCAATTAAATCATACCAGTTAGATGAATTAAAACGCGCAAATGAAGATTATGGATATAAAATGGACTTTTCTAAAGAATTTAATTTTTCATTGTGTACTAAATGTCATAATAAGTATAATCGTTTAGGTAAAAAAGTAGATAAAAATCAAGAGGAAGAAATTGAAATTATCATGGATGCAGATGATCCATTTCCTCTTGAAATTGCAGATACAAGTACGTTACGAAATATTTCTCCAAGTCTTTCATCAATCAATATATCTGGAACCGCAGATACAAACACATCACAGAATTTTTCTTCAAGACCATCATCTGAACCAAATGTGGATTCTTTGGCAAGTGAACCTCTTTCATTTGAAATCAAATTCAAACTAATCCTCAAATTTTCCGATGGAAAATGCTATCCTGCTAAATGGGAATTTATCACAGTAGAAGATTTTTATGAATTTAAAAATGGTTTGGAAAATTTAATTCAATTACAACTTGAGGACCAAGTAATTTTCCAAGATGATTATATTATTTCATATAAGCATGAAAAGGGAAGTGGTTTAGGAACACAATTAGCAAGTACAAGAGACTGGGAAGAATTCTTAAAGGAATATAATTGTATAACTTCTAATAATAAAGTATTAGTAATTATTATTACAATGAAGAAAAAACTTACTAACAAGCGAATTCATTTCAGGTAAATAATTTGCATTAATTTAATTATCTTTAAAATATATAAAATTAATATTATTAACCAGAAAATATTAAATTTTTTTGTATTAGTGATGAAGATGATGAAGAAACGGGTAAGAAAAAGAAAAAAAGCACCAGTGATGATAGGAATAAAAGAAATAAGGAAAAAACTTCCTTGAACCAAATTCCAAAGGAAAAAAACATCAATGAAGAAGATGCAGAAATTGCGAAAAATGTTATGGAATTGCACTCTAAATGGTATTGTAACGAACATGAGAGAAGTTGCTATGTTGATTTAACAAGACATATTATCCTTACAACAAATCATTTATCTACATGGGCGAGATCTATTGTAAGTTGAATTTTTAACATAGTTATCACGTTACAATTGTTATATCATATAATACATTCATTTAATAATATTCATATATATTATATACGTTTGTTTATTTTATAGAAAAATAATCTGGCTACCTTTGATGAACCTCCAACATTGCCATTATTTGATGCTGCAATTTCAGTAAAGAGAAATAATTTACAAAATTCAAATATTTCAACTTCAAATCCCTTTTACCCTTCTTCATCTAATATTACTACATCACCATCTTTTATTGCTATGCCTTTTCCCTTTTACAATCCAGGTATGTTTAACAATCAACAAAATTTACAATTTCAAGCGAATTGTATGCCTAATAATTTTTCACAAGTACCACAAACAAATACTTCACTTCATGTTTTATCAATTGAGGAATTTTTTGAGAATTTATCAAAGGAATTTGGCGAAAATATTTTTGAAGAAGTGAAAAATAAATTTATACAAGAAACAATTGATGTTTTGGATATATTTGATCTTAAAGAATCTGATTGGCAAGATTTAAACGTAAAAATTGGTTTAAAAACCAAAATCATTAGAGAAGCAGAAAAATATAGAAAATAGATCAATTATATTGTGATAGTTTGTAATATGAATTTTTTTTTGATACGATCATAATAGAAGTAAATAATAAAAAGTAACTGACGCGTCCATTTTATAATATAATTACTTTATTGATAAAGTATTAAAGATACAATGATTTTTGGAAAAATGATTGAGCCATAGCAGGAGTAATTTGTGCACATGCTACTGTTAAAGTAAAATAAGGATCAGGGCAATTTTCTACATAATTTCTATTTCTTTTCAACCAGCCTTTAATTGAAGAAAAAGCAGTTTCAATTGGGTTTAAATCTGGTGAGTATGGTGGAAGAAATAAAATTTTACATCCAATTGATTCAATAAAATTAACTAAAAATTCATCATGATGGATTTGAGCGTTATCCATTATTAAAACACTGTTCTTTTGGGGAAACGGATTCATATTTGGAAGCTATATGCATGTGTAACGCATAAATATTTGTTAATTTTTGTCCTATTAATTAAAAAAAGTCAAGCTAAAAAATTACACTTACTACTTTAGCCAAAATAAAATTAATAAATCGTTCTTTAGTACAACTTCCTTGCATAATATCTAATGAAATAATCCCATCTAAAGACAAAGCTGGAAGTAACGTATAACGTGTTCCTCTAACAAATACAACTTTTTTTACCGCTGCTTGATTTCGCGGAGAATACCCATATTGTCTACAGGATGTACGTTCATCTTTTGAACTTTCATCTATAAAAATAAGTTGTTCAGGTTGATAATATGTTCCAATAGTCATTATATAATGACCACATAAAATATCACTCCTTTCTTTAGCGTGTTTTTCTAACTTTTAAATTAAAAATAAATTTAATTAATAATTTCAAATTTTAAAATAAAATTAGATCGTTAAATTTGAATAAACCTTTTTATGTGTAATTCCACAATACTTCAAATAACGCCATATTGTTGTATTGGAAACCCTTTTACCGGTTCTTCTTGCCATCTCAACAGCCATTTCATCTAAATACATATCAGGCTTTTCTTTAATCATTTGTATCAAGATCTTTAAAACAAAAATTAAAATTTAATATACTAAAATAAATAATAAACACATTTTCATAAAATTATATTATACAAACTTTTATGTCTGAATTATTAAAAATTTTTCTTTGTCCCTTTTGATCTTGTATTGGATCTTTAACATCTTTCCAAAGTATATAGTAATTTAATACTCTATATATTGTTTTTTCGCTTACATAAAGAAATCTAGAAATTTTTTCTATCGAATAACCATCATTCCATAAATATACAATTCTCCATTTGATATCTTCACTATATTTTTTTGGCATATTCTAAAGAAAATATACATTTTAATATACTTATAATGAAAATTTCACACAATTTTATATCTAAATAATTAAAATTTTGACCAACTTTACTAAAGTTCAGCTCGTAATTTCGAATAAACAGAAGGAGAAGACCAGGGACAACGTCAAAAAAAAAAAAATAAATAAATATTTATTCACGTATTTATCATATTTATTTTGTGTTCAGTTTGTGTTCGGTGTGTTCGGTGTGTTCGATCGGCAAAATGATCACCATTTTTGAATTGTCAACATTTCTGAAAACGGCAATAAGTGTATTTCTTTTAGAAAATAATGTGATATTTCATAAAAAATATTTTTTCTTACTATTTTTATTTTTAAACTACTTGAATTTATAATTAATGAAAAAATTAATTAAAAATTTATGTCAGGTCATTTTCAAATTTTTATCATCTCAGTTCTTAATTTTTATATTACATTTATTTTTTATATAAAATTTTTTTAAATTAAACTTCTTTTTCCAAATATACTATAATCTCCACTTTGGCCAAATGAAATCAACTTCATTTATTAATTAAAAGTTGTTCAAGCATGTTGAAACCACTTGAATATTAATTTTCATGAATATAGGTATAGTGCTTAGAGAAAATTGCATTTCTTGATGATATTAACTATCTTTTATGTTTTTTAAATTAGAACGTAATATTTCCACTTTAGACAAATGAAATCAACTTTATTTATTAATTGAAAGTTGTTCAGGCAGGTTGAAACCATTTGAATATTAATTTTCATGAATGTAGGTGTAGTGCTTAGAGAAAATTGCATTTTTCTTGATGATATTAACTCTCTTTTCTGTGTTTTAATTTAGAGCGTAATATTTCCACTTTAGACAAATGAATCAACTTTATTTATTAATTGAAAGTTGTTCAGGCAGGTTGAAACCACTTGAATATTAATTTTCATGAATGTAGGTGTAGTGCTTAGAGAAAATTGCATTTTTCTTGATGATATTAACTCTCTTTTCTGTTTTTTAATTTAGAGCGTAATATTTCCACTTTGGGCAAATGAAATCAACTTTATTTATTAATTGAAAGTTGTTCAGGCAGGTTGAAACCACTTGAATATTAATTTTCATGAATGTAGGTGTAGTGCTTAGAGAAAATTGCATTTTTCTTGATGATATTAACTCTCTTTTCTGTTTTTTAATTTAGAGCGTAATATTTCCACTTTGGGCAAATGAAATCAACTTTATTTATTAATTGAAAGTTGTTCAGGCAGGTTGAAACCACTTGAATATTAATTTTCATGAATGTAGGTGTAGTGCTTAGAGAAAATTGCATTTTTCTTGATGATATTAACTCTCTTTTCTGTTTTTTAATTTAGAGCGTAATATTTCCACTTTGGGCAAATGAAATCAACTTTATTTATTAATTGAAAGTTGTTCAGGCAGGTTGAAACCACTTGAATATTAATTTTCATGAATGTAGGTGTAGTGCTTAGAGAAAATTGCATTTTTCTTGATGATATTAACTCTCTTTTCTGTTTTTTAATTTAGAGCGTAATATTTCCACTTTGGGCAAATGAAATCAACTTTATTTATTAATTGAAAGTTGTTCAGGCAGGTTGAAACCACTTGAATATTAATTTTCATGAATGTAGGTGTAGTGCTTAGAGAAAATTGCATTTTTCTTGATGATATTAACTCTCTTTTCTGTTTTTTAATTTAGAGCGTAATATTTCCACTTTGGGCAAATGAAATCAACTTTATTTATTAAATGAAAGTTGTTCAGGCAGGTTGAAACCACTTGAATATTAATTTTCATGAATGTAGGTGTAGTGCTTAGAGAAAATTGCATTTTTCTTGATGATATTAACTCTCTTTTCTGTTTTTTAATTTAGAGCGTAATATTTCCACTTTGGGCAAATGAAATCAACTTTATTTATTAATTGAAAGTTGTTCAGGCAGGTTGAAACCACTTGAATATTAATTTTCATGAATGTAGGTGTAGTGCTTAGAGAAAATTGCATTTTTCTTGATGATATTAACTCTCTTTTCTGTTTTTTAATTTAGAGCGTAATATTTCCACTTTGGGCAAATGAAATCAACTTTATTTATTAATTGAAAGTTGTTCAGGCAGGTTGAAACCACTTGAATATTAATTTTCATGAATGTAGGTGTAGTGCTTAGAGAAAATTGCATTTTTCTTGATGATATTAACTCTCTTTTCTGTTTTTTAATTTAGAGCGTAATATTTCCACTTTGGGCAAATGAAATCAACTTTATTTATTAATTGAAAGTTGTTTAGGCAGGTTGAAACTACTTGAATATTAGTTTTCATAAGATTTCATTTTTTTGTAGCTGTATTAACTTTAGAACACTTATTACAGCTTATGTAATTATTTTAAATTATAAAAATTAATTTATATTATTGGCTAATTATAATCACATGATACTATTTGATTTAATAATTTAATAAAATATTATTATTTAAAATTAAATTCATATAAATGCAACTAATATTAATAATTATAATTTAAGCAGTAAATTTATTGACCAATTCTTGTACATTCTATGCTCAAATTTTGTAATTTCTTTGATCAAATCAATATAAATTCAGTATAAATTATGGTCAATCATACAAATGGTGCATTTTTGTGATATGGAATTGTGCATTTTCCTGTATCCTTATATATAGTTTAGATACATTATTTTTAAGAAAAAATTGTATAAATCTTATTAAAACATGATTTTTTATAGGGTCTAATTATAATAAAATTTTATTATTCAGTAACAATTCAATTTATTTATATCAAAGAATTTTTTTAATTATAAATGTTATATTTGGGGGACGAAGTCCCCCAGCAAATCGCATATTCTAGTTTTTTATAAAAAATTGATTGAAATTTTTTATTAAATTTTACAATTTTAATAAATAAATGGTTTTCTAATAGTACTATTCTCTAAATAAAATTAATTATTATTTATGGCATAATGTTAGGGCAAAAATGTTACTAGAAGGTAAAAGCATTTTTGAATGGAATGTTATTATTGAGAAAAATTGTACATATACTTGGGTTGGAGTATGTTCATCAGAAAATTTTATTTATGAAACTTTGCAGGGACTCAATCTACTGGATGGGTATTAGTAGTTATATTAAAAATTATTGTCAATTATCTGGATGGAACAAAAGTTACAGTTCACTTAAATATGAATAAAAGAATTTTGCTTTTACAGCCAATGGTACAAAATATCTAGAAGTATCATCATGGAATAATTTACTATCAAAGCTTTATCCAGTGACATAATTATGTTATCCTGGTCGAATTCAAATTCAACATTGTTAAAAGATATTTAATTGTGTAAAAATTTTTATTTAGCTAACAACAGAGTTTTGGAATTTAAAAGAATCTTTTTAGTAGATCGAGATTATTTAATTCGTTCAAAAAATATGTTTACATATGAAATATTATTAGTTCTATTATTATTTTCTTTTTTTCTTAATCGATCGAACCACGTGAACAAAACATAATCAAGGCTATAAATGTAAACATTTTGATAGGAGATTGAAAGTGACGTAAATAAAAATTACATTAGCCATAGTTACTTTGTCTATTTACTAAATCCGCATCCCTTTAACCATAGTTATTGACCTCCAAGTCTTACCATGCTAATCAACTTTTTAATTCTTGGAATCAACATAAGTCAAACAAGCCTTTTCACGACGTCTAGGTATTAGTTATACTGTGAAGTACCAGGCGAATGCCGAATGGATACAAACACATACTCTTACGGGGTAATAGATATATATATCGGAAATGATATGAGAATTTGGAACACCATCATAGTCAGCGCGGAAAAAAACCTTGGAAAAATTTTGGAAAAATTCTGGTTAAATATAAAAATTCTGGTTTTAGATGGTATTACCAAATATATAATAATCTTTTAACTTTTTTTTATTCATGCATATACAATATGGAATAACCAGAAAAGACGTACTGGCTTTAAATAATCATATTGTAATAAACTACTGAAATAATAAATAATAAAATTAAAGATAAAAAACTTTTTTGCAATATAAATTTATTAAATGAAATTTCCGGTATTTACAAAATATTCCAGAAATCTGCTATGCCACAACCGAACAATTTTGGGATTAGAATCAAGTTATATGTTTCCAATGCAGTTGTAGATGAACTTTCAACTATAAAAGACAACCTGCTATAAGTCTTCAAGATAAACTCCATCAAGCTCGACAATATCAGTTCTTGTTTTTTGGAATCACAACACATTGATAAAGCTATCAGCCACCTACTAAAATAAAAAAAAGAAAGTTAATCTCCAGCGTACAGGATTACAATTTATCAGTTCCCATTTTTACCTTTACCCCTGGTACGCGAGATAGAATTAAGGTTCTGAACTTTTGCCAATTTGTCCATGTCCAAAAGTTTTAATTTCGACCAGTGCAATTTTCCGATAATGGAACTAGTTTAAGAGAACTCCTTCAACCTCATCCAGGACTTCAAGCTCAGCGCAATTCTCACAGATAATAATTTTCTCAATGTGGGTAATAGAAAACCTTTTGATTTTAGCGTACCAAAAGACCTCATCCCTTTATATCAAATGGGCCTATATAATCTAATACGAACAACAAGAAGAAAAAAAAAATACCCTTACTTTTAGAAGCCGTGAATGGCTAAACAAATTAAAGACAAGGAAAGAATTTCACGAACGTGAAGTAGAATATCAAGCACAAATACTAGCTGATAAACAAGAAATGAAGCTTCTTGGCACATCGTACAACAGATTGGAACATCGCAAGTGTTTAATATTCGTTCTAATAGAATATAGAATGCTTATCATAAACGGATAACTTCTATTCTTGATCATCGTAATAAATACAAGCATCTGAGACACGTCGCCCAGCTTGATCAAGAATATAGAGAATTTGAATTGAAATATTTCAATTTTGCTATTGCAAGTCACCCCAATATCACGATAAAGGCGATACTTCTGATGAACCAAGACTCTTGAATTGCGCCCTAATAAGTGTGATATTAATGTTAATCTCAATTTAGACTCGTTTAAGTCGTCTCATATGATTAATAAACCTTGACCTATGGTCAATCCTGATACCGGCTGTGCTAGTTCTCCTTTTATGAAGTAAAAGTTTCCTACCATCACGCCCAATCATCTGTTACCCTGTGGACTCCCAGTTGGTTAGGCTCTAATGACTATTATTTTTTAATTTTCTCTGTAATGAGTCCAGATAACCCTTTTCAAGTAGCTATATAGGATAACACTTTAGTCTACATCTACAAAATATTCATCATTTTTGACATAAACAATTTAGCATAGTGTGAATCACTCCACCTCTGACAGTATTTACAGGTGGCCAAAGAAAATACGGACCATTTATAATTTTCCTTACTTGGTTGTTTTCTCCTCTTGGCGGGAGAGTCCCATGAGTGATCTTGGATCCCTCTCTTCTTCAAGGTCAGAGATCATCGCCTCCTTAGGATCACGATTTGGTTGTTAGGGTTAGAATTATTCTTGGCTTAATGTATATTTTGTCCTTATAGTTTGTACTGCAACTTTGTACCTTCTGCGTTATAAAAATAAATATCTAATCCTCCAAGAATGTGTACATCAAGCAGGCCTCGCTGGATAATAATAATTTAAATTTTTAACCGGTGTAGGTCGATCATCTCCTTCATTAAGGTGTGGCTAATAATGTCGAATATATTTTTTCCCATAGGAATGGTACAACATAACACAAATGCGAGCAAATACTAATTAAGTATTTAAATTCCTAAAATATAATCATTTATATATTTCTATTTTCTTTTTTTTTTAAAAAAAAAAATGAGAGGAAATTCATTAGAAAAAGATTTGAGCTTATTAATAAATAATCAAAAATATAGTGATATAGAAATTTTATGTGAAGATGAAAAAAAATTATATGGTTGTAGAGCAATTTTAGCAGCAAGATCCGAAGTATTTGATAGATTACTTTATAATGGGATGAAAGAAAGTTATGAAACCAAAATTTCTTTTCCAAAGATTAATTCTGCTGGTATGAAAATTGTATTAGAATATACTTATACGGGATCAATTAAAATAGAATCATTAACAAAGGATAATATAATTGAAGCATTTTATGCTGCTGACTATTTTCAATTACCAGATCTTCAGGATTTTATTATGAATACATTCAAAAATACATTAGAAAAAAATTGCGATGAAAATTATTCACCAGAATTACTATCTAAACTTGCAGAGAAAATGCCATTAACAGAAGATAATATTCTACTGAATTTATTGGTTGAAGCGGTAGCAGTTATACCATTAAACACCATTGAATTTGGTCGATTGTCTATTACAGGACTTAGATATCTTTTATCTTATACACATGAAGAAGAACCTCTTTTTGCAACCCCAGAATATGAAGTTTTTCGATATGGCGCTATCCTTGCAGCAAAACAAGTTTCAAATGAAGCATATAATACTCTTATGGAACAGTTACCAAATTTAGAACAAATAAGACAAGAGAATCCAGTACAAATAAAAAACAAAATTATTGACGATCACCAAAAAGTTGCCAAAGAGTTGGAGCCTTTAGTTAAATTAATTGATTTTAGGCGAATCAAAGGTCAAATATTAGTTAATATTATTGAGCCGCTTGGCATTACCCCAATTGAAATTATTTTAAATGTTTATCGATATAATACATTATCGTTTAATTCAGATTTAAATGATACCCGAGGCAATTATGTTTATGATGAGTCAGCATGTGGATCAAAACTTATTATTGAGGATAATGGAAAAGTCGTATGTGCACCAAATAATCTTACTGATTGGCAAAGTGTTAGTGTTAAAGTAGCTTTAGGAAATAAAGATGTTTTTGAATGGGATGTTATTATTGAGAAATGCTGTACAAGTGCTGCTGTTGGAGTATGTGCATCAGAAAATTTTAATTATGAAACTTGGGCAGGATATCAAGCTACTGGATGGGTATTATCCTCCCAAGGTAGTAGTGTTAATTCAAATGTATGGTTAGGAAATTATTGCCCTTCATTCGGAGATGGCACAAAAATCACTGTTCACTTAGATATGAATAAAAGAACTTGCGCTTTTACAGTCAATGGAACAAAATATCCAGAAGTATTAGCTTGGAATAATTTACCATCAAAGCTCTATCCAGTAGTATCATTAAAATACCCTGGTCGATTTAGAATTCAACCTCATAAAAAATAATAGTGAAATTATAGAATAAAATTTTTTTATTGAAACTGAAAATGAGGACTTGAAAAAGATAATTCGAAAAAATAATGTTCTAAATATTCTCAAGTGATGTTATAGCTAATTAAAAATAAGTTTTTAATGATGATTAATTTAAATGTTTAGAATTCATAACTATCATTGCCTGAATATTATAAATATGATATTGAACTAACTGATTGATTAATGTTTCTGCAACTAACAAATATTTTAATGTATTAAATCGGGAAATAAATCCTTCTAAATTACTAAGCCATGCTGATCAAAATATTTTTCGAGATTCGTTATGATTTTTGAACACATGATTTATTATAGATTAGATTATTATTGAAATCACAAGACTTTGATAAAATGACTAGCTATTTTAGTTCGATTATACTGTATCTACTAATTAAGTAAATGATGTTCTGTAAAAAAAAATGTCATTATTTATTTACTGTTTATTTATACTATTACCTCCCTACAGTAGCATTAAATTTCTAAATTTGTAAAATATCGACACTTCACTTTATTTATAAGGTATACTGAATAGAATTTATCACTGAAATAAACTACAAAATCTTTCTTTCCTAAAGAAATTCAAAAATAATGAAGGAAATTCTTTAGAAAAAGATTTAAGTTTACTAATAAATAATTTATAGTAATATAGAAAATTTTATGTGAGATGAAAAGAAATTATATGGTTTAGAATGATTTTAGCTGCGAAACCTGAAATGTTTGTAGTGAACTAAAAATTTCTTTTCCAACAATTAATTTCTCTATTATGGGAACTATTTTAGAACACTTTTATACAGGATCAATTAAAGATAAAACCTTATCAAAAGATAATATAATCGAATCTTTTGATGCTGCGGATTGTTACCAATTACTAGACCTTCAAAAATCTGTTTTCATAAATAATGAACTTTGAAGAATTATGCAAATAATCATTTATAGAATTATTGTAATTCTTAGTCCATGAAATTCCATAAGGGTTAGTTCAGAAATATGTGGAAATTCATACTACACCCCATATATCTTACATGGATCCAATATTTTAACCTTCGAATCCATAGATCTACGCGGAAAATACCATGTGTTTTGTCACAGGGTACTCGGAAGTATTGGAATTATTCAGATTTCCACATATTTACATTTTAAGTGGAAAAAATTTCCTGGAGCGATTCCATACATTAAGTACTATCGAATTTGGTCGGTTGTCTATTGTAGTTCTTAAATGATTTTTATGATGTTTTCCGGTATAGTGCTATACTTGCATCAAAACAAATTTCTGATGGCTGCTGCTACGAAAGAACGATTAAAATAATTAGAATAATTAGGAACTTAAACTCAGTTAAAGTGAAAAAAAAAAATTATTACCGATCAAAAAGTTGCATTTTAATCATATTAAAGGTCAAATAATAGTTAATATCATTGGAGTCATAACATGATGGAATGAAAGTAAGTTATGAAATTGTATTCCTGAAATTAGTTAATATAGATTATGACAATAATTTATAAGATATTAATTTGAGAAGAATTTTAATACGCAATAGCTGAAGTTTTTATGCTGCATATTATTTTCACTTGTTCAAAACTTCTAAAAATGTTATCATATACCGGAATACAATAGCCACTATTTAAAAACTTGTTATTTAATGAAATGCAGAAAGTCGCATGTCACTAAATATTAAATGGTGATATCGCGCATACAAAAATATTAAGCAGGTAATATTGAATGGGATGTTGTTTATAATGGGCTTGAATCGGGGCGATTTAAGCCCTATAAAAAAATTGGATACGTTTTTTATAAAGTTTTTATACGATTTTTTTTCCTTAGAAATAACGTATCATAATAGGATACGAAAAAATGCACAATTCCGTATCACAAAAAATATGGTTTGGATACGGAATTTGCACGGGATTTATATGGAATTTACATGATTTGATCACTGATTTTATCACGAAATTTATACGATTTGGTCACTGAATTTACTATTTGTATTACAGTTTACTATAATTGTATTTACATAAATCTAATTTAACTTTGTTTATTTTTTATTTTTTATTTAATTTAATAAAGTACAAATACATTATGAAAATTCCCTC